GGCTGTAATATTGACTTTGGGGGAAAAAAAGCTATTTCAAAGGAGAAAAACCATTGAATTTGCGAAGGCTTTCACAGCCGGGATCTAATGGTTGCTGTGGGTTTTTCGGGCTCTTTGGCCATGCTCTGAAGGTTGTTCTTCCTAACGTTTCGCCAGTCTCTGTGACTGGCATCTTCAGAGGACAGAACTTCAGAGGAAGATGCCGGCCACAGAGACTGGCGAAACGTCAGGAAGAACAACCTTCAGAACACGGCCAAAGAGCCCGAAAAACCCACAACAACCAAAAACCATTGACTTTCTGGCTTTCTTACAAATCGGTTATCATCACGAACAGTCTAGAAAGGGAGATCACAACTTTTGACCCTACCAGTCAGGAACATCTCAGGATGATTTTTTTAAAACTAATTTCTGGTTAATCAGACATTTAAAAGAGTTTCTATTTCTGGCGTAAAATATTTAAGAATACATATTCATAAACTCACCCATTTAAGCTGTGAAATTACTGTTTTTTGCTTTCTGGTTGGGGATGGTCTACTCAGTGTTAGCAGAATTTGGTGCCTGTTGCATCAATCTTGTCACTACACAATTGTTTGATATTGAAGAAAAAGACTTAAAAGATGCTGTGTGCTGTGAAGTTACTTCTGATGTGTGGTGACTATATGAGCTACTGAATTCTAAAATGTCCTATTATTAACAGCTCTACTCAGATGTTGCAAACTAACAGATCTTATGTTAGGTTGTTCTCTCTTCCTACTGCTACTCTTCCTAGCAAAACTGTCTTTTCAACTAAGTTCCGCTCAGATATTGCGGAATAACAGCTGTGACTTTCTCTAAAGGGCAACCAATCTCATGTTAGCTCTTCCTCTTTTCCTCCTGCTCCACCCCACTTTTCCCACCAATATTGTCTATTCTGGTCACTTCTGTATTTCCATTGTACTGTATATGCATGGTAGGATGGACTCAGTTGACTCATGCTTGTTTGATGAAATTCAGCACCCACTTCACTTGATTCAGCACCCACTTTTCTGCTTTTCTGTCTGTCTTTCATACCTGTGCAGATCTCCAACAACAACAAATTTCAAATAAGATAATTTTTGTCCCTGTATTTCTTCACTGTTTTGCTTTCACATAGTTTGGATGATTTTGAGCTTGATTTCCAATGACATCCAAACTGTTCTTGCTTCTGTCTTCTCCCAATAATCATAGCGCAGATCATGTGCTCATCTTCTGGAATCCTCTAGCACTGCGTAATTCTACGTGAATAAAGTTTCTGTTGGAATTTGTGTGTAGCATATGTATATTTAAACTCATGTTTTAAGAAACAAAAAAAAAATATTTCTCAAAAAAACCCTCAAATTTTTGTCCCCAAAAGACAGCAAAATTATCCCCCATTCCCCTGAAGAGAGTACAAGGAGGCTTTGGGCAAAAACCCGCACACCCGTCTATTTTTTTTTAAAAGGGGGTTATCTTGGACTGCAGGGGAACCACATTTTGGCCCCAGGAAGCTGCAGGTAGCCCACATAATGTCCAATCCTGACACAGGCATGTGAACATACTTTTGTGCATAGCATATATAGCTATGACACCAGGAGATTTCAATCCACAAAGTTATACACAAGAGTCACAGACCTAGCTGGTACTTGTAGATGCTCTACATCAGGCTGGCTGATCTCAGTAGGACTGGGGGTAGTTATTCCATTCTGCTGGTAGTCAGAGGGCTGCATTACTAAGACAAAAGGCCAAAGAGGCTAATTTGCATAAGTAACTTATTTTGTTGGCCAGCTAGATAACTCTGAGTCAGAAGTTCAGTTCCCCCACTCTGCCTTCTGGGAGTAGAGCCCGCCTGTGTGGCCTTGGGGGCAAGCTGCACTGCCCCAGGGCATCCCCAGAAGAAGGGAAGGGTAAACCACTTCTGAGTACTCTCTACCCGGAGAATCCTGGAAAAGATTACCAAGTTGTTGGAATAGACCTGATAGCACATGGTTATTATTTGATATTAATCTATTTTGTTATTATTTTAAATACTGTATGATGCCATGGTTATCTACTGTGAAGGTTGCTGCAGTGGATGTCTTAACTGAAAAAAAAAAGATAACTTTTACGAGGGCCTCGTAAGAATGAGGTTTTTTTTTTCCCAGTGGATAAAGCCTGTACACTCTCCAAAGGTTAATTGTTTTTAAAAGGAGCTTAGGAATCCCAGGGGTGCTGAAAACATATTAAATCCACCCCCCAATGCCCCTAGAGAGGAGAAAGGGATATATATTGAGAATAAAAGATGTTTAGTGGAATGGGAATTTGTGGGTGCCAGGGCTGCTACAGTGGACCCTCGACTTACAGAATTAATCTGTATTGGAACGGTGGCTGCAGGTCGAAAAGTCTGGAGGTCGAGGCTCCATTGACCTACAATGCATTGAAAACTAATTAATCCATTAACCGGTCATTTTTGTTCCATTGTGGGGGGTTTTTCCGGTCTGTAGGTCAATTCTCCGGCTGCAAGTCAAACCTAAATTTTGCAGCCAGAGAAGTCTGTAGCTCCAAATGTCTGTAAGTGGAGCCGTCTGCAAGTTGAGGGTCCACTGTACAGGCACACAAAAGTGTCCCAGAGGGCACGCACAGCCCACAAACCAAATGCCGGCTGCTCCAGTTCTACGTGATTCCTACCCATACTCTCCAGTTAACCCGACACGGTGATATCATCTGCTATTTTAAATGGGCTCCTCCTGTGTTTTAGTCCCTGTGTGTTTTGCATGTAAACATGTTACATGTAAACAAGGCCTTTGTTTATTATCTTTTTACATGTATGGGACATGCAAAGGATGACTTTTAAACCATTTTTTAAATGAGCAACAAAAGAACCATACAGATAGGTCCCAAGAAATGAGGTGCCATGACTCTGTCTCCTTCTTGGGGCTTTTTGAAGAATTATGTACAATGTGAAATTAAATTCACTTATCCTGAAATGAATCCTGGTGAGTTTAACCTTACTTTCTCTCTGGCAGGTGGGCACAGGGTAAATCTGAACTCTGATGTCCATTTATCTACAGGAAGGCTGCTTTTGTACAAAGAGCTTTAGGCACACAGACATGCTCCTTCTGTGCAACCAGCTGAAAGTGGGATTCCATTTAAAAGGTGACCACCTTGACCACTTACTATACTGCTATATTATTTAGCAGGGACTCCCCTTGGTTAAGGTCCTTTGATAGTTTACTAGAGTCAGCCTTACAATGCTGAGGCAGCCTCCTCAGGCACCTAATTCTAGGCATTATGAAATCAAATTGTTAACTATTTCATTTATTATTACTGATGTGCTTTCACCACCAGAGAGGGGAAAAGTATATATGGGAATTTCTGTGTTTGGAGCCAGAACTGATTTCACAGGCCGGCATTCAGGTTCCATTTTCACCAGAGATACAAAATCGTTTAGGCTGCCCTAACCCCTACGCATATAACTAAAATGTGTCCAAGTTGCTGATTCAGCCTGGTCACTTCCTCTTAAGTGACCATGGGAGGTGAACTGCCTCCGAAATAGCCCTAGAAAAGTTTATTTTAACTTCCCCTTGTTATATGTCACCAGGAGAGTTAATGACTAATTAATTCCTTGACTACTATTATTACGATTTTCATTTAAAGAGAGTGAAATGGCACCAGTTGAGTGAGTAAATATGGATCAGAGCCTACCACACATGATCTCTGAGCTCCTGACATGTTTTCTGTTTGAGTAACTGATCTCTTTTAATCTGGCACAAAACCCGGAAAAGAGACATTCTGGCCAACGATAACAAACCTGTTTGAGATATGCTCCTTCTAATGCAATTTAATCCGCTTTGAACTTCAGGGGCAAAAAGCCACCCTTGTAAAATCGGAACCGCACAGTCATTTGTAATTCGAACACGGGACCAAGGAGACGATCGCAAAGCAGGAACGACAAAACCTTTGAAAGGAGGGCCTGTCGTCCTTCACTCCGTCTTTGGCTGGTCAGCCTTTAATAAGGATAAAAACCACACAATTTTCTTTTCGAATTAGACGGCGACTGAAGTTCCAAAGGGCGGCGAAATCCTCTTATCCTACCTTTCCGACGAATAAATCCAGTAAGGAATTATATTTAGTAGACCTCAGAACGAGACTTCCAGCACGATCCCAACCCACTGACTTGGAAACGGGCCCCATTACGTCCAATGGTCTTCCTCTCAAGTAAGACCGCTGAATAAGACCCATCACTGCACTTTCCCGTTTGCGTGCTTCCTGCGAAGGAAGCCCTACTTTAAAAACCTTCATGAAATTCCCTCTATTTTAAAAACCTCCATAAGAGAACAGGACGGGGGGGCGCGGGAGCTCAGCCCCCTTACCTGATCTAGCTACGGTGGGGTGAGGGAGGAGAATCGGGACGAAGGATGGGCGAGGGTCCTGGTAAAGCCCCCCCCTCTACCTTCCTCTCCGTAATCCGAGCCCTAGGTTCGTCCACGCTCACCCCATAAGGTGAGCGTGGCGCCCCAACCCGGTTCCGGCCCTGTCCCATCTGGGTCCCTCCCGCCCCCTCCAGCCAGGCGCTGCCGCTCGCCCCCGTCCAGAAATAGGCCGCCCGGCCGGCGGGGTTGCTACCACGGCGTTGCGA